GGGAGACACTGAATGAAGCGAGAGGTAGCCCCTGTCCGTTACTGTGCTGTGAACAGCAACCTCACATTTACTTGCAGATGTTGAGAGACTGATTTACAAAGCCAACACAAAAACAAGTCAGCAAAGCAGACAAAATGGTGCCAAAGGGCTTCTGGAGACATTTGGAAGATTTCTAAGTGATAATTAAAAGCAGCAGGACACTTCTTTGAAAAGGAGGGCCAACAGGAATGCCAAAAGGCACAGAAACCGAAAGCTGCAGGGCCAGCACATGGTTATATGCTGTAGCACCTTTTTGCGCTGAGCTCGCCACGGCACATTAAAAAACAAGCAAGTACAGTTTTAGAGACGTAAAAATTTATTTCCAGCCTTCGACTTCTTAGGGCTGTTAAAACTATTTTAAACTATTTTTGAAGTGAACCATGATGGATAAAAACTACAGGAATGACTCGGTCATCAGTTTCCTGCACGTCTCCACCCATAACGCTGAAGTGATGCAATAGATTGGGAAGATCGCAGGAGTGGTGCAGCTCAGCAGAAGCCCGGAGATCAGAGACCCTGCTGCCTGGAGCGCCACCTCACCCCCGTGATGGTCACCCCTCAAGAAAGACGGAAGAATAGAAAAAGAGACTGATGCATTGCCCAACTCTTTCTCCATCAAGAAGAACTGAAAAAAATCCAAATCCCCAAAACTAGACAAAATTTGGATAGTAGCGGCTTAAACTGCATTCCGACACTGTAAATTCCTTATTGCACAGTCACATTTATAATGTAGGCAAACTGCTACACTTGGAAAGATTTAAAACTAATAAGATAAGGGAACAGATACCGGAGGTGAATGTACAGAGCAGGCTACTGCCACATTAGATCTGCTAATCCACCATTATCCATCCAGGGCTACAGCACACTGGACTGCCTGCAAGGAGCTGTGCAGTCCATGACCTGGACCAAACATGACCATTCTGAGCTCAAATTTTGGCTGAACAGAAAAACTGAAATATTCACTATTATATTCACTATTTCCAGGTGATTGCAGGCAGTGCTGGTGTATCAAGCATCACTTAACAGCATGCGGACCCTCTGTAAAGCAATTTGCTTTTCAAAATTCAGAATGTTCAGGTTTTTGCCCAATGACTTGATGAGCAGTGAAATGGTCTTTTAAGACTTAACATGGACTGCTAGTTCACTTTCCTTTAGTTCATTCCTCGAGCTCTTACTGGAGCTTCTCCGGTGAAGCAGCATTTTGTTTTTTGTGGCATTAGCTGTTCCAATTATCTCATCACAGAAGAGCTTAAAGCCAAGACAAAGGTGTGTCAGGTCTGGCTCTGGCATATGTTGAAAACAAAATTAACACCAGCACTGTCTGCAGCCTCACAGAGACCTGTCTATTGCCCAGTTAAAGTACACTCCCAGCACTTTAAAAACAGATACTCTTGATATAGGAGTGCTTTTCCATACACTGCATACCAGGGAGCAGTCTCCGTCACACTGGTCCGAAGGATCTCCCACAATATTTACCACTATTCCTCACAGGCCAATGGCAGAACTGCTCTATCACTCCACAGAAACTGCTACTACGTGGACTGCTAAAAGCCATAATTGCAGGTTGAGTGAAAATCACATGCGATAATTATAGTGATGTTTGCTTTCAGCAGAGACAGCTGACAAAGGTATCTATGGCGTACAATGCAAAACATCCTCTACTACTTCAAAAGCGTCAAGGGACAGGAGGCTGCATCGATGTTGTGAAATAACAGGCCGTTAGCAGGTGGTACCAATATGACCCAAACCAGACAAGCCAGGGGTCCTGGAATGACAAACTGATAGGTGCAGAGAGAAGTTGTGACTCTTCTGCATCATGATCCAATAGTGCTCTGATCCATCCCACAGGCAAGGGAACAGCATCTCTACTGTCCCCTCCCATCCACACCGATCAGGACGTCAGGTAAGTGTCGTGAATCTTCAGAGCTAATTATAAAATCAACCGACAGAGTCAGCAGCCTTGTGATACAAGCAGGAGGCAGGAGGCTGTGCATTTAGGACAGAAATCAGATGGTACTTTAACTACAATGCTCTGCATTGCTGCAACAAACTGCCCAGTCATGCTGTAGCCGAACCTCTGTGGGCGAGAGCCTCAGACCAAAGAGCTAGGAGAAACTGAGCAAGTAGAGGGCAACGGCGTACAGTTTGCAACCTCTGCTGTTCTTATTACCACACCGCAAGAAATCAGGAGTCTTTCCGTTTCGTAATCAGCTGATCTCCACTAGCATTTCCCCAGAACCAGCTCCCCAATTCTAACTGGTTTATTCAGAAATGATTGCGAAGAGATTTGCTGAACTCAGCACAGGGGATGGGTGGTACCCCTGTTTCAGAGTGGGTATAGGCTCACTGCTGGAAGACAAAAGAGATTCCAGACAAAAACCAAGCCGAACCAAGTAGTCTGGCAGCACATTCGAGAAACAGCTGGATGAAACCCTGGCATCTTTTAGCCACAAACATTCCAACGGGCAGGATGGGCCAAATGGCCTACACTCCTTCGGAAGCGTTCTTGTGTTCTTAGCAGAGGCCAAGAAAAAAAAAATGAATAGTGAATACAACAGCAGATGATGAAATCCAACCATATTTCAACAAAGTTTCATGCAATTTTGTCATTTTACATAAGAACACGTCACTTCTTTTCTGAACTGGGAAGCCGGCCTAGGGCTCGTGCAGCTCTGCTTCTTTATTTCCTGTGGCCCCCTACCAGCTTGTGCAGGCTGGCCAGCGGGCTCTTTGTCCACTCATTCTGAATACAACAGAGATCTTGGCATGTTTTCATTGCTCATTACGGTGCTCACAAGGGGAAAAGAAGGAAGCTCCTTATTTCTGGCTGAGGGGGGCAAGATTCCTGTGGGACAGGCATTATTAACGGGCTGCTTCTCCCCCTCACTTGCTCATAGATGCCAATTAAGAAAATACCAAGCTCTGCAACTCCCGCTAAAATAAATCTATACGGTTTCCCTAGCAACACCTCATTGTATGGGATACAAATACACTTAGCCGATCTTACTTGATGTCTGCCAGGAGGAACTTTCCAGCTTAAAAGTGCCACAAATCTATGGAGCAGCATTCTCCTCTGGGGGAAATCGCACCTCTAAAAGCCACTCATGAAGAGGAAATGGACTGGAGATGGAAATAAATTACATTTTAAGTCCTAAACTCTTTGGAATCCACATCACCTAAAACAAGTGTCCAATAATGCTGTTCACAATGCCCATCTCAATAACTGTTGAGCTGATAGGATTTTTATCCACTGGGGAAATGAGCACAATTGATACAGACTTACTGAATAAAACTATTAAAGGCCAGCTTGTTGGTATTACAGCGCAATAAGCAAAAACCTATCAGCTTTTCCACTGCACCAGAAGTGTTAGATGCACCGAGTTCCACAAACTGCTTTGGAGCCACATGCATGGTCATGTCAGGCACAGAAGCCAAAGCAAACCCTGTCCGACAGCTTCCACACCGACAACGCCGTTCATGTCCAGCGAGCAGGTGACCCTCCAGCCAGTCTCAAACCCCCTACACAGCTGTCCTTCTGCGTCTCTTCAGCACAGCTCTCTTCTAACCACAAATCGGAAACAAATACTCTTACAGATATGAAAACGGCACAACAAGAGTTGCATTTAGAGAGAATAAGTGTAACAATACAGCAGAGAATCAACACTGAAATTTTTAGAGTTGTGAAAACCTACAGGTCTAAGACTCACTATGAGAGATCAAGAGCATGAAATAATGGAGGCAGTGTTCTACTCACAGAGCAGGTGGACTACAGGCATGGATTCAAATTTCCACCCATCAGTTCTCGAGACAGGCAATTAGAGCCATGTCCTCCTAAGCACAAACTAGAGAATGCAAATGCTGCCTATCACCTGTGACTACACAAATTGATCAGGACTTCTACCCGTGACACAACACACACACTGAAACCATTGAGACCCATTTTATAAACTGACAGTGCATCCTTTTAAAGATCCAGGAGAATGCCAATTCTGGGATAGAAAGAAAATCCAGCCAAGACTGCTGTCGGACCCAGAGTTTCTATGGGTTTACACCCTCCCAAAGTCTCAACACCAAGGCCCCCTGACCTAAAATAGACCTAATCCGCTGCTACCAACGTACATTGTCAACTTCTGACTTCTAGCTGGATGAACTGGCTTTGGCGAGTCTACAAATGAGACAAGACCTGTCAGTGACACAGCAAGAGCAGATGTGAAGCTTGTAATACCTTGTCTAACCTATGGACCACAGGTTTGGCGAGACGGGTCGGGGGAAAAAACCCAGAGCCTCCTTATCCAATTCCTACAGTGTCCTATGTATCGCTGTAGAGCACCCTATAGGTTATTGCATTAGGATTCGGAATGATCATGACAAACCACGTGCATTACCGTAAACCAAAGGTCTTAAAGCATAAACAAGGGCGCAACGGGGTGCCGTCATTCCCTGACGTAATCTCCGTAATTCAATATGATTTCAGAAATTGTCAGTAAGCGCAGACGTCTCCGGAAAGTTTGTGTTCTTCTTAATAAGGCAATTTACATAACAGTGACCACAGAAAAGTACATTAAATGTTCACTGATTTCATTCAGTTTTAATTCGACCCAATGGGTTTGCGAAATCGGTTTCATTCCCTAGGTGTGCAGCGTACGGAGGTCAGCTCTCCAGCACACAAACTCGTGTGGCAACAGGGAACGAGTCCTGGGGTTGCCCTTGCCGTGTCCGAGTCCAGGGTGTAGTAAACAAGCGGTTTTAAAGCACTACTTCCCAACAACAACGAAGTACAAAGACATCTGCAAATAATTGATAAGCTCTAAATAAATAACTAATTCAACTGTCCCAATGAAGAGTGATGTCAGAGCTCTTTATTCTAAGCCTTCCTGAGCTGCCAGGGCGCAGCAGCAGGATTTGTGAGGAGACTGTGTGAAAGGCAAATACAGAGACATGAATTTAACAGAAACACTTACCTTCGGTATCAAACGGGTATCAATCAATTTCTCCCACAGGTGCAGAAGCCTTGGAGTTTCTTAATATCCCAACAAAGCCTGACCATTCGCTTCAGTCGATAAAGCCGAAGTCATTCAAGTTCTCAGGCAAAAAAATGTAATTAAGGATGGCTTTTACTGCCAAAATAATGTCGGCTTTGTTCCCGACATTCAGAGCATTATGATGATTGTAAAAAAAATAAAATAAACAAGGACACGAACCCACAACGATCTCGCTTGCACAGAATTCTCACATTGCCCCCGTTTGCAGTGAAAACAGCGCTTTCATCAGGGCTGAACTACACGCACAGCCCGCAGAGAGCCGATCGCGTAAATCTGCCTGCTGGCTGTCTTGGGGGCGGAACGCTGCCCTCAGCTCCCCGCCTTCTATTATTAAACCGGCCGGGATTTTAAAGTGAGAGCGCAACTGTTTCTCCCACTGGGAAAGTTGCCTTTTTATTTTCCTAAAAGCAAACTGTAAGTAAAAACCGTATTCTATGAACCCCCCCCCCCCAAAAAAAAAAAATTGTTTGTGCAGTATCTGTGTAGTGACTTTTATTTACGCGGATATGTTGGCATTATTGTTAGTAAAAAATTGAATGCTGCGTAATTATAAAGCCGGCGGTCACTTGCACAAGAAAATTAACGAAAGGCAACATAAACCTAGTTCTGGAGAGCCACAATCCCGTAACAGCTCACGCCCAATCACCCATTTCAGAAGACTGGGGACACTTGTAAGTGATCAATTAAGAAGGTGATGTGCTCAATTATCGGAACTAGAAGGTTAGATGTCTGTTCCAAATCACATTTACTTGACGAATCATTATAATTGAGTTAAAGTCCTGCGATAGCATGTAATCCATGAGCCAAGGTTGGCTAACCGTGCGATAAGATTTGAGATTTGAGGTTTGAGATAAAATCTCATTCTCACCTGCTTCATGCCTAATTTCCTCTCTGCTACCCTACCGCTGCATAGCCAGAAGACTTGCGCCCATTAGCGTCACTCACTATCAGGAGTACAGCTTGCAACACGCTGAGTTTGGGCCAATTAACACAATTTGTAGGCAACACAATTACAATACGAGTGGCCAGCGCCGGTCTTCTCATAGGTTGGTGTCGTAGTCGACCTTTAACCTTTAACAATCGGTGAGCAAACGTGTCAGTTATAGAAAAGGGTGGTTTGATTCACTGCGCTGTCTAAAGACTTTCTGGATCGAGGAGCAGTGCGATCTGAAATCCTGAAGCCTGTGTTTCGGTGAGCAGGTCTTCGGGCTGAGCTCCGCTGGCCGCACACGGTCACGCTTGTACTCGTGCGTTACTCTGGGGTCTTCCACGGATCCCTTCTGTTGGAAGTTGCGCTCGAAGTCAAGGTGGTGCAGGAATAAATACGCTTGACATGTTCAGGTTTAAATGAAGAGGCTATATTGTTTCTAAAAATAGAATTTGACATTGTGGGGCTATCTACACCTTCTTGGTTTCCACTAACACACACTCACCCGTGGGAATAACACGCAAGAGATAATACACACACCTTCTCTGAACCCCGCGAGTTCAGCCTCTTGAGAACAAACTTCTGGTTTCGCTCGGCTGACGGTTTGTTATCAGAGGCACTCTCTTAATAAAAAGACTGGAGCTGCTCTATTAATTATTGGCTCACTCAAAAACGCAGCGCTGTATCAGGTATAGCAGAACTAAAATTAATAAAGCAGGACTTTGTCATTCATACGGGAAAGCTGAAGGCTAATTCATTTTTCTTGTATATTAATAATTTACGCCGACTTCCTTTTTAGTCACGTTTCTATGAGCGTCACTGATCTCAGCGCTACTAGGACATTAATGAATATACTGAATATAGTTTAATTTGAACAGAATATATTAAAACGGTGGTCAGTTCATATGGTAAATTCGCATTCACATTTAATTGCTTAGTATAAAACTGGCTTGGTTGGAAATATATAACAGTACAATTGAAACATAACAGTTCATATGTATGTTTGTAGCTGTGATTCTAGTCCATATTTTCAATGTTCTTAAATACCAGAAGAAGTGTACCATTTACATTTGTTAAAAAGGACAGCTGCAAAACATTGAATTAAAATGCTATATATGGAAACAAGTACATTGAATTTCCACCTAATTAGCAGCTATAGTATTCCAGACATGACATTAGCATCAGATTAAAAGTGCAATTATGTGAGCAGAGGGCAGTCAGAAGTCTGAAAGTGGTGAGGGCATCAATCCAGAGAAAAGCATGTTGCAATTTTGAGCTACACACACAACAAATGAACATGATTCATTTTGCTGTAGTTACGTTAATATGAAGATGTGATTTCAGGCCAAATACATGTCTTATATAAAGGAAGAGCCAACGGCACTGAGGACAGTGTCATTAAGACTGGACTGAGTGAAGCAAACACTAATATTGTCCGATTGTGCAGTGCTCAAATCAGCAGTGGGATAGGACGACTTACTACCATCCCGTCAGAAGCAGGAGTGAGACCTTTCCTTCATTCATACATCCTGTCTGGAGCACCCCACAGCGTGTCCAGGATCAGGTCCAGATGAAGAAGAGAAATGATCACATTGCTCTTTCTGATACACGGGTGTGAACAGTAACATCAGCCATTTCTTTAATCTGGGTCCAGTTATTTGACTTTTCAATCAGTTGGTAGAAATGAATCACGGTTCACAAATTCAAATCACTTTTACATACACTGTTCATAATGAAATAAAACAGTTTTCAGTTTACAAATTGTCTGGCTTTATTGGTGGCAACCAATAAAACAGTATCTGTTACTTGAGACAATAAAGAATTTCGAAAGCGTGACTGACAAAGATATTGAAAAGGGAATAAATAGTATGCAAAAACCTCTTTGTTCACAGTGAGCCTTAATAATTTAAAGGACCAGTACAAGCAATTACTCTCCCCAAGCTGAGCAGAACCAGCCCTTCTGCTCCACTCTGTGAGCCACGATGTCACAGCGGAAAGAGCAGCACTCAATGAGCAGGCACGCCTAGCACTCCATCTAGTGGCAAACATTTGATTTGTACAGAAAGCTTTTTTCCTTTTTTCTTTTTGAAATAATATTCTAGTTATTTTTGGTTTTAAAAAGTTGCTACTCTTTTTAAAATGACAGTGTTATGGTTCACATCTTTAATCCATGTGGAGTTTACATTTCTGGCGGGGCAGGGTGACACTCCCAGACTGAAAAGAATTTATTACACTGGCAGTTTCAAATATCTGTATCTGAGCAGACACCAGATTGTGTTTGGTTTTTAATGGAAGAAAATCAGAGTTCAGTATGTAGAAAGTGTGTTTTCAAACTTTTGAATTTTTACAGTTTTTTATTGACAGGCACGCGGCTTAGTAAAGACTGCAAATTTGGGCTAAATTTCTTTTTTGAGGAAATCACAAAACTACACTTTCCCTGTGTTTCAAATACATCTTTAAGCACAGCAAATGCATCGCAAGATGTCTAGGTGTTGTCCAAACCCTAACCCTAACCCTGACCCAGCAGGTGTGTGCCCCCAGGACCAGGACTGGAAACCCTGCCACAGGGCAGGTGAGATCGGTTGCTTGGTAAGGACCACAGGCGCTGAGCGGACCGAACTACAGAACCTATGAGTAAAGAACACAAGAAAAATGTGTTACGTGTTGCTTTACACTTTCCTGATATCACTAATCAGTCTGTTCTGAGCTCCCTGCCTCCTGGTTAAAAAACTCTTTGTTTATAAACTCCTCAGCCGCTCTGTGAAAGCACTTTCCCAATACTGTATATCACTGCCCCTCGGGTTCAAGGGCAGCCCACTGTGTTTGTACAGGACCCCTTTGTGCCAGAAAGACTCCCATTTCCCCCCTCTGGTCCCCACGTGTCCTCTCGTGTCCCGGGTCAGTCGGCTGTACACTGGGCATGACCAGGATCTGCAGCTGACAAGACAGATCCTTGCCGAATCGTCTAACTAGTTTTCACATTACTGAGACCAAAGGCACCAACTTCAAAATCTTCCATTTCTCTCATTTGTACACACTGAAAGAGAAAGCTAAAAAAGCACATGTTGGCTTTGTTAGCTTTTAGGAAGACAATCTTATCAGTGGGAAAAGTTAAATGTTTATTTATTCCATTCCATTCAGTGTTAACTGAAAGGTTAAGTTAAGGTTTAATTTACTGTTTATATGTGTTGTGTCAGTAAAGTTTTCCTTTTAAATGACTCCCTGTGTCTCCAGCAAACTATAGGCAGCTGGTAGGATGTTCCTCCACAGTGATATCAGTGTTTTGCAGTGACATGTTACAGTTGTTTTTATTTATTGATTGCTATAATCATTGTAAATCTTCCCCAAATAGGTAACTAATCATTGCTAAATCAGAGTCTGTGACACCATACGGTATATACTGTATAGTGCAGCAAGGAGATCTGACATCCCATCAGGGTACAAAGTGCATTCCAGCATGTTATCCAAACCTGAGCTTTAGAATGTGAAGGAGAAGAAAATAACATATGATCTTAAATGCAAAATGATGTGAACTGGTCTAAATAATTTTGTAACATCTATAATTGGCAGTTTTGTATATTTAATGGAGTTATGATATGAAGTTCACTTTTAAAAGGTTTTATGTGTTCTCCACTAGGGGACATAATCTGTCAGTTTTTAGATGTCTGCTGAGGTTTGCAAGGTACAACTATACTGTCAATGCAAGTTATTTGAGCTGGCTGGACATACTATAATTAAGGAAACATTAATACAAATAAATGCAAGTAAATATTAGAAAATGCATTGTTTTAAAATGTGTACATCTAATGGACACATTTCAATATCAATAAAACATGGATATTTTACATTATATAATAATATATATATACAATAGAATAGCAGGTCATGTTATCTTTGCAATAATGTCTGGATGACATTGCATGCATGCTGTCCATTTATCTAAATAACTTTGGTAAATTGTATTTACCAAAAAATGATTTATATCTTGAAAGAACATCATCTAAAGAACATTTTGGCCCTGCTAAAATATTAAAAACAGCCCTGGCAGCAGTGATGCCACACTGTAGCTCTTGTCAACTCTCAGAACCGATGCAAGGCTGTGTGAGATACTGTATGCCCTGGGAAGAGAAACCTTCAGGGAAATCCAGGAAGCTGCTGTCAATGGTGTTGATAAACCAGTTGGTGGCGCTCTTCCTCTTGACAAGAATTTCCACACCTGTTCCCTGTTGTGGAGACTGGGGACACTGTTATTTAAATGGTGGCATCCTTCAAATGTAACATTAAACTGGCATCCTGAATAATAAGAATCCAGGCTCTGTTGTTAAGAGTAGGGGTGTCATGTAAGTGCTTAATGACATTATTTCTGGGCAGATACTGTACATTCCAGTCTGCCTGAACTT